GGGGGGGTGTCAACCTATTCTCCAAAGCCCCTGAGGGCAGGACAAGAAGCAATGGATGGAAACAGCTAAGCTAAGATGAGATGAGATGAGATGAGATGAGATGATAAGATAAGATAACCTTTATTGTCATTTTTTACTGTGGGCACGAGGACACACATCAAAAATGAAATTTAGTTGCCCCCTCTCAAAGTGAACACATACATGACACACACCTAAACATACTATATACAACATATACATACTACTTACATATGTACAGACCTACACCCCTACATGTACATAACATATGAATATTAAACACTGTCCATCTTGAATATATAACGGAAGGAGGAAGCTTGAGAATTCACAAGTTTAATGCTGTATGAAATGAAACTATGGCTTAATCTGGATGTTCTGCTTCGGATACCACGGAGCCCCCTCCTCCCCTCCAGAAGGTAATGAGGAAAACAGGCCGTGAAGAGGGTGTGTGGTGTCCCAGACAATCTTACCGACCCTGCTCAAGCAACGCTTCTGTGCTATGTCCTGGATGGGAGGGAGGGAACTGCCAATGATCTTTTCGGCCGTCCTCACCACTCTCTGCACCGCCTTCCTGTCTAAAGCAGTGATGCTTCCAAACCAGACTATGATGCTGTATGACAGGATGCTCTCAATCTTCCCCTTATAGAAAGTGGTAAGGACAGTGGAAGGAATATGTGCTTTTCTCATGCGATGCAGAAAAGGCAGGCGCTGCTATGCCCGCTTCACCAGTGTCTCGCTGTTGAGCGACCAAGCCAGCCTACTCGTTAACTGCACATGCAGGAATTTGATGCTGGTAACCATCTCCACAGGTGAATCATTGATGCACAGACAGTGAGAACAATTAACCAGTGGAACAGTTTGCCTCCAGAAGCAGTGAATGCTCCAACACTGGAGGGTTCTAAGAAGAGATTGGACAGCCATTTGTCTGAAATGATATAGGGTCTCCTGCTTGAGCTGGGGGTTGGACTAGATGACCTCTAAGGTCCCTTTTAATTATGTTGCTCTGTTTTCCTTTCTGAGGCTGTCAGCTGCCTAGTAATAGCCTGGGATTAGGGGGGGGGCATTTGGGAACGGAAGAGTGCCAGAGGTGTGAAGGAATCTTGTGGGAAATCAGGGAGCATGGACAGTTGACCGGAGGCAGAGGTGCTAAGCCGAGTCATCTTCTTCCTTTTCAAGGACACAGGCCGAGAAAGGAATTTGCTTTGGTGTCGGAGGCACCACGTTCCCAAAACATCAGAATGGGACCTGACTGGACTGCTCTCCCAGGAAGGAGGGTTTGGGACTTTGGGCATTGCTTTCAATATATAATTTTCACCTCGTTTTTCTTCAGAGCTTGCCTCGGTCACGCTGCACTCAATACCTCTAGTAAAAGCATCTTTTCTCTAACCCCTGTGGAATCAAGGGTCGTTCTTTCCTAGGGATCCGGTTGGGGCCAGTCTCTGACGCTGCCATAATTCCAGACCATCATTAAAACGAACGGTCGTTAAGTCAAGGACTCTCTGTTCCTAGGAAATGCATTAGAAGCCATCAGAAAAATGTGTGAAGTTAGGCTAGTGAGAATGTTGAAAAAAGGCTGCTTGGGGGAATGAAATGACCCATTGGCCATTAGGTCCAATAATAATAATAATAATAATAATAATAATAATAATAATAATAATAATAATAATAATAATAATAATAAAGTTGGAAGGGACCTTGGAGGTCATCTAGTCCAACCCCTCCTCAGGCAGGAAACCCTATACCAGTGATGGCGAACCTTTTAGAGACCGAGTGCCCAAACTGCAACCCAAAACCCACTTATGCATCGTCAGGTGTCAGGTGGGTGTGGCCCATTGGGTGGGCGTGGCTGCAGTGGTAACGGCAGACTGGGCGGGACTAAAAAGTTCAATCAATCAATTCCAACTTTGCAAGATCTTTTTTTTTCCCCGCGAGAAGCTGAAATTGACTGATTGATTGAACCTTTTTTTTTTTTTTGCACACAGCAGCAGAGGCCTAAAGCGAAAAGGTTTTATAAAACCCAGCTGAAGGCCTAGGACTGGGGCTACAGCGCGCGTGCCCACAGAGAGGACTCCGAGTGCCACCTCTGGCACCCATGCCGTAGGTTCACCACCATGGCCCTCTACCATTTGAGACAAATGGCTGTCCAGTCTCTTCTTAAAAACTTCCAGTGTTGGAGCATTCACCGCTTCTGGAGGCAGGTTGTTCCATGGGTTAATTGTTCTATCAGGAAGTTTCTCCTTAGTTCCAGGTTGCTTCTCTCCTTGATGAGTTTCCATCCGTTGCTTCTTGTCCTGCCGCCTTCAGGCGCTTTGGAGAACAGCTTGACTCCCTCTTCTTTGGGGCAGCCCCTGAGATACTGGAAGGCTGCTATCATGTCCCCCCTCGTCCTTTTCATTAAACTAGACATCCCCAATTAAACTAGACATACCCATAGTAGACATTGTTTACAAGGCAATTAGAAAGTGCTGAAAAACCTCAAGCATCGGCTACGGAGACCTAAACCACGCCTTATAAAAAGAACACCGGTTTACGGTTGGCTTGTGATGTGCACACTCAAGCCTTGTGCGTCTATGGAGATTCTCTGTCCTCCAAAGGTGCTTTTTTATGAGGCAAACATCCTTTGAAGACGTTTTGCTTCTCCTCCAAGAAGCATCTTCAGCTCTGACTGGATGGTGGGGAATGGAAGGATTTATACTCCTTGCGGACAGCCGGTCATTTGCCTTCTGTTAGAGAGTTGTTGAGGCCACTTGGAGGTTTACCTGTGTCCTCAGGGTCACCTGAGTGGTGCAAATGGGCATGGAGCCTTCTTGGCTGCAGGATGATTTCTGCCCTGGGTCCCTTCCTCGTTGAAGACGGGCACACAGGCTGTTGGGGATGAGTCTGTGTTGTCTGCATCTCCAACTGAGGCGCAAATGGTTCCTGGTCATTTGCATTCTTTGAATCGTTGAGGCCATTTGGAGGTTTGGGTCCTCAGGGTCACCTGAGTAATGCACACAGACTCATCGCCAACAGCCTGTGCCCGTCTTCAACAGGGAAGGGACACAGGGTGGAAAAACATCCAGCAGCCAAAGAGGCTCCACACACATTTGGACCGCTCAGGTGCAAAGAAACCTTTGCAGGATCCAATCCGAGTCGGTCACCCGGACCAGAGGTTTTGTCTTCCGAGCTTTCAGACATAATAATAATAATAACAACAACAACAACAACAACAATAATAATAATAATGATAAAGTTGGAAGGGACCTTGGAGGTCATCGAGTCCAACTCCCTGCTCAGGCAGGAAACCCTATACCATTTCAGACAAATGGCTGTCCAGTCTCTTCTTAAAAACTTCCAGTGTTGGAGCATTCACCGCTTAAGAGAACACGTAGGGAACAAGAAGGATGTAGACTCAATTTTGCCGCTACTATTTTGCCGCTACTAAGATTGTTGGCGGAGCAGGCACAAAAACAGCCAGGGAAGTGATGGAAGCCTGGGAAACGGGCTACTTGCTGATTTACAGCCAGCTTACCAGGTAATTAGGAGCCGAGCAGTTGAGTCTCACCAGCTCAAGGTTGACTTAACCTTCCATCCTTCCGAGGTCGGTAAAATGAGGACCCAGATTGTTGGGGGCAAAATGCTGACTCTGTAAACAGCTCAGAGAGGGCTGTAAAGCACTGTGAAGCGGTACATAAGTCTACGTGCTATTGCTAATGCTTCCTTCCTTCCTTTCCTTCTTTCTCTCTACCTTTTTTCCTTCCCTCCTTCCTTCCCTCCTCCCTCCCATGGTGGCGCAGTGGTTATTTACGTCATAACGTCCGACTGAAACGGGTGACGGTCGTCAAGTTAGGACTGATCGAGTTCCAAAACGGCGATGATTCTAACAACCTCTTCGTCCGTGTTTTTGTCGATCCCTTCACTACCTTCGGACCCTTTTTCCGATGAACGGTCAGTTGTCCTCACGACTAAATGCCGGTCGAATAGTCCATTAATCCTCGGCTCAAGTTGAGTCTCACCAGCTCAAGGTTGACTCAGCCTTCCATCCTTCCGTTGTTAAAATGAGAACCCAGATTGTTGGGGGGCAAATAGGCTGACTCTGTAAACTGCTCAGACAGGGCTGTAAAAGGCCCTGTGAAGCGGCATACAAGTCTAAATAATAATAATAATAATAATAATAATAATAATAATGATGATGATGATGATGATGATGATGATGATGATGATGATGATGATAATGATGATGATGATGACGACAACGATGACGTGGCAGTGCCTGGAGACAGCAGAATAGAAAAGAAAGAACTGGAGAAGATCACAAAATACAAAGACATAGAAATAGAAAGACTGTGGCAAAAGCAAGCAAGGGTAGTACCAATAGTAATAGGCGCCTTGGGTGCAATCCCAAAACAACTGGAGCACCACTTGAACACCATCATCGGCATTGACAAATTCGCCATCAGTCAATTGCAAAAGGCCTTACTAGGAACTGCTTCCATCCTGCGACGAGATCTGTAATACCATCAAACATCCACATCTGCCTATCCCAGGTCCTTGGGAAGGACTCAATAGGTAGACAAAAATGCCAAATCCAGTCTGAACATCTGGCTAACTGTGCGATGATCCATAATAATAATAAAGTTGAAAGGGACCTTGGAGGTCATCAAGCCCAACCCCCTGCTCTGGCAGGAAAGCCTATACCATTTCGGACAAATGGCTGTCCAGTCTCTTCTTAAAAACTTCCAGTGTTGGAACATTCACCACTTCTGGAGGCAGGTTGTTCCACTGGTTAATTGTTCTAACTGTCAGGAAGTTTCTCCTTAGTTCCAGGTTGCTTCTCTCCTTGATTAGTTTCCACCCGTTGTTTCTTGTCCTGCCTTCAGGTGTTCTGGAGAATAGCTTGACTCCCTCTTCTTTGGGGCAGCCCCTGAGGTACTGGAAGGCTGCTATCATGTCCTCCCTCGTCCTTCTCTTCATTAAACTAGACAGACCCAATTCCAGCAACCGTTCCTTGTATGTTTTAGCCTCCAGTCCCCTGATCCTCTTTGTTGCTCTTCTCTGCACTCTTTCTAGAGTCTCAACATCTTTTTTACATCGTGGTGACCAAAACTGGATGCCGTATTCCAAGTGTGGCCTTACCAAGGCGTTGTAAAGTGGTATTGCTAAGTGCCAATAGCCAGCTATCGACACCCCAACCAACAACTAAAAAGCCACACGCATCAGGCGCCATATCAATACCACACACAGAATACCACTACAGCACAAGCCCCAAAACTCAGAAGACAAAACCTCCGGTCCCGTTGACCGACACAAGATTGAATCCTGCAACATTATCCTGGGACACGTATATTTGCCTTCATTTGTAAGAAACCTTTCGTCCCGGTGATCGACTCGAGATTGGATCCTGCAAAAGAATGACCAAGGAGTCAAGACGAAAGATTTAAGAGACCGCTTCCCTCTCCTGATTAAAGTTACCTGCAGCAGAAACAAACCACGCAGAGAAAACGGACACAAGGGCCTCATTTGTATATATATATATAGATATATATTTATATTTCAATCAAAACACAATTAAATATGGTTTTAAGTACTGGAATACTTGGGTTTCAGACAATAAGGTGGTACACGGTACCAAAAAAACCTAGAGACAACTTGTTTTGCATTCTGGCGGGCGTGTCGCTCCAGCCGATACTGCCAAGTGGTGTGCGTTTAAGTCTGTTCCACTTTCAAAGGGCTGGAGTCAAAATCAAAAAGTTTCCTAAAGTGTAGTTCTGGATGAAGGCTCCTTTTTTCTCTCTCTCTCTCTTTTTTTTTTTTGCAAAAGTCTTCAGGAAACAAACGCCGGTGAGAACGTAAAAAAAACAACAACACTCCAAAGGAATTAAAAAAAAGAAGAAAAGAAAGCAGAAGGAGGAGAAAAAAAAAACAAACCCTTACAAGCACAACGGAGTGGATTTTGTCTCAAGTACTCCAAATTCTTGTAAAAACGTTTTTCGCCCCCCCGGAGATCAGAGGGAGTTTCAGATTTATGTGGGAAAAGGAAAATAAAATAAAATAAAGAGAAGAGGTGATCAAACCCCCCCCCCCCCCAAATTGCATTAAAGGAGAAGGTCGAAAGGCGAAACGGAGTCTGGAACGATGCAGCAAAAACTGAATTCACTTCTAAACCGGGTTAGAAGTTGTTCTTTCACCTTAACGGGGACATTTGCAAAAGGAAAAGGAAGAGGGAACGCACAAAAAAAAAGCTTCATTGCTTATTTTTTCTGGCATTTCCCCAAATGAAAATGAAATGTCCTTCTGCGGGGGGGCGAGAGAGATGGAGGCGTGGAGTCCAGCGTTTTGAAAAGCAAAGAGACCGACGGGACCCGGGAAAAAAAAAATCGCTCGTTCTCAATTTCCTCTCTCCCCAGCCCCCCGACTGGCCCAAACGCACGAGAGGAACGGAGTTCCAGTTTTATGGAATACTTCATCATTTCCGGATCTTTCGAAAACAAGCGCCGGGGTTGTTTTAAGACTACTCTTCCGTCCGCTGCAAAGCGCTCTCAGGTGGCCGTGAGCCTTTCTGATTGCAGATTTTTTTTTTCTTTTTAAAAGTTTGCAATAACAACAACAACAAAACTGCAGCTCAGAAAACTACGGGGCAAATGTCTGTGCCTAACTGTAGTCCAGAGGGAGAATCCTTGGTAGGAGGAGCTGGGAAATCTTCCTTCGACGGGGACTCGACGAGAGAGAAAGGTGAGCCTTTTTTTCCGGTCCATTAAGGGGAGGGGGGAAAAATTGTACCCGCTGCATAGGGGTTCGGGGTGCTGATGAGGCGGCCGCGAGGAAGGGGAGAGAAAACAGCTCCGCTTCGCTTCATAGGCAGAAGCTCCCAAAGATCATAGCTGAGGAAGATTAAAAAAAAGGGGGGGTGGTTAAGAAGCAGAAAGGGGGGGGGGGCTCAAACTTCCATTTGTAACATCCAACTCTCCCGAGTCTTTTTTTTTTTCCCCAGTGGGCCTTTTGGTGTAGCCGGCAGACCCTCCCCCCTTTTGCAACCCCACCGCCCCCCCGATTCCAGGCAGCCACCCACACAATTTCCGACCAAAAGCTGCACGGAATTCTGCTGTATTTGGCATTTGAGATCTCACAACGGGATCCCGATCACGCCGGGAATCTGGTTTATAGAGTTGGCTACCGTGTTTTCCCCCAAAATAAGAAATTCCCCAGCCAGCCATGCTTTAAGATGGGTGGACTTCCACTCCCAGAATTCCCCAGCCATTCATGCTTCAAGATGGGTGGACTTCCACTCCCAGAATTCCCCAGCCATTCATGCTTTAAAATGGGTGGACTTCCACTCCCAGAATCCCCCAGCCAGCCTGCTTTAAGATGGGTGGACTTCCACTCCCAGAATCCCCCAGCCAACCATGCTTTAAGATGGGTGGACTTCCACTCCCAGAATTCCCCAGCCATTCATGCTTTAAGATGGGTGGACCTCAACTCCCAGAATCTCCCAGCCATTACCTTAGTCACCTTTTCGACAGCTGCCTCCGGGGGTTGTGCCTGTTGCATGACGTCATTGACGATCATTTTGGCTATCCTCCACGCCATCTCCTCCTGGGCCTACGGACAGACCAAAGATGTCCGTCAAGCCCAGGGCATTCTGGGAAGGTGAGTAGCGAGCAGAAGAAAGCTACCCTCCAGGATCCTTGCCTCCCCCTCCAATTCATCTGGGTCCCAAACTGTATTTTCAAGCAATATTTGATGGGCCACTACGCAAATAACTGACCTCTGCGTTCCAGTACAGGTAGTCCTCAATTTACGACAACTGAGCCTAACATTGCTGTTGCTAAGTGAGACAGCTGCTGTGAGTCTTGCCACGGCTGTAAGCGAATGGCTGCGATTGTTAACTTAGTAACCCAGCTGTTAAGTGGATCTGGCTTCCCCCCTTGACTTTGCTTATCAGAAGGGGATCATGTGATCCGGGGACAATGCAACCGTCGTAAGTACATGTCAGTTGCCAAGCGGGTGAATTTTGATCACGTGACCGTGGGGACGCTGCAAGAGTCGTTTAAGTGTGAAAAATGGTTGCTAAGTCGCTTTTTTGGAGTGCCCCTAAAACTTTGAACGAACAATTCTAACTCAAGGACTAATTGAGTTTATTTAATGTCTGCTCAAAGTGACTAAGGTGCTGAAAAAAGGTCGCTTACGACCAGTCCTCGCACTTAACGACCGTCGCATCTGTGGGATTACGTCATCAACGTTTGGAGAGCTGGATAACTGCCCTGTATTTATGATGGCTGCAGTGTTTCAGGGTCAGGTGATCACAATTTGTGACCTTCCAAACTCGCCTCCGATAAGTCAACAGGGAGAGCTGGGTTCACTTAACGACCACGATTCCTATAATGACGGTGGCAAAAAAGGTTGTGAAATCCTCACTTGAGGAACGAATCTACCTGATGAGAGGGTTAACTTCCCAAGTATTCAGAGAAGCAGCCCCTGCATCCATTTTTTTTATATTCTGGGGAGGAATTTTTCTGGTTGTACAGTAGTGGCCCAAATTGTGGAAACCTTTTGGGAAAAGTGTACAGTAGAAATGCCACCTTTGGTTAAGTTTCCACCCATTTTCCTTCTAATTTCTTTATAACTGTAGCCTTGTTCACTTAATAATACTATTTTACATCGCTTTCTGGGCAACCAGTCAGCTCTTTGCACCATGACTTTAATTTTATTATGTTTTACAAGCTCACTCAATGAAAGAACACAAAAAAACCCAACCAACTTGATAGCCATCACATAACACACTGACAAATGTCCTCCTCTCGGCTTCAATACAGGACATCAATCACTAGATCCTATTGTGATCTGATTGGCTCATTGCCAAAACAAGATGATACCTGATTGGCTCTAAACACTCATGCTCATTGGCTACAATCAGAAAACTGGAAAACTACCTGAGATCAACCTAAGCAAGGTGTGCTTCCTTTTTCTGGTTATTTGGCTACAACTTTTCATAGAATACAGTACAGATAATTGAACAAACTTTGTTGCATGACATTCTTGATTAAATGATCTTTCCATTGATATATAATTTTATGGTACTGCTCCAAAAAAAAAAGGGGGTATTATTAGTCATCCAACCTCAAAAATACACTTTTCCCAAAAGGTTTCCACAATTTTGGCCACCACTGTACTTGGTTTCTGACCTGAATTCTCAATCAGAATAGTGCTGCAAGGGAACCCTTGAGGTCATCTATCCCAGGGCTTTTCAACCTTCTCACCGATTGTACCACTTTTAGGATATGGCAATATCCAAGTACCACCTAGCAAGGTGTCAAAAACTTGATGACCAAAAAAAAAAAAAAAAGGAAAAAAGGGATAAAGTCCAGGTAGTCCTCGACTTACAACAGTTCGCTTAGTGACTGTTCGAAGTTACAACGGCACTGAAGAAAGTGACTTATGACCATTTTTCACACTTATGACCATTGCAGCATCCCCAGGATCATGTGATTTACATCCAGATGCTTGGCAACTGACTCGTATTTACGACGGTCGCAGTGTCCCCCGGCCATGTGACCCCCTTTTGCGACCTTCTGACCAGCAAAGTCCATGGGGAAACAAGGCTCACTTAACAACTGTGTTGCTAATTTAACAACTGCAGTGATTCACTTAACAAATGTGGCAAGAAAAGTCATCAATTGGGGCAAAACATATTTAACAAATTTCTCCCCCCTCCTCCTTTTATATCTTCTCACCCTTCTTTTATATCCTTTCTCTCCCCTCCTTTTATATCCTCCTCTCCACCCCTTCTTTTATATCTTTTCTCCCCTTTTATATCCTTTCTCTCCCCATTTATATCCTTTCTCCCCCTTTTATATGTTCTCTTCTCTCCCCTTTTTATCTTCTCTCCCCTCCTTTTATATTGTCTCTTCTCTCCCCTCCTTCTTTTATATCCTCCTCCACTCCTTCTATCTTTTCCCTTCTTTTATATCCTTTCTTCCCCCCTACTTCTTTTATATTTTCTTTTCACCCTTTTTATATCCTTTCTCTCCCCTTTTATACTCTCCACCCCTTCTTTTATATCCTCACCCTTCTTTTATATCCTTTCTCTCCCCTCCTTCTTTTATATCTTCTCTTCTCACCTTTTATATCCTTTCTCTCCCCTCCTTTTATACTCTCCACCCCTTCTTTTATATCTTTTCTCCCCTTTTATATCCTTTCTCTCCCCTCCTTTTATATCCTTTCTCCCCCCTCCTTCTTTTATATCCTCCTCTCCACTCCTTCTATCTTTCCCCTTCTTTTATATCCTTTCTCCCCCCTCCTTCTTTTATATTTTCTCTTCTCACTCTTCTTTTATATCCTTTCCCTCCTCCTTTTATATCGTCTCTTCTCTCCCCTCCTTTTATATCTTCTCCTCCCTCTTTTATATCCTTTCTCTGCTTTTATATCCTTTCTCCCCTTTTTATCTTCTTCTCTCCCTTCTTTTATATCCTCTCTTCTCTCTCCCCTTCTTTTATACCCTTTCTCTCTCCTCCTTCTTTTATATCCTCACTTCTCCCCCCCTTACACTTTTTTCCCCAGTGCTTTTTCAACTATCATACGCGTACCACCTGCCAAGTGCCAACATACCATCAGTGGGACGCCTGCCACCGGTTGAAAAGCCGTGCTCTAGTCCAACCCCCTGCTCAAGCAGGAGACCTAGAACGAACAATTTGCCTGCACGCCCAGACACAGAGGAGGGTCTCTCGGAATCGCCAAAGAGGTGGGTCGTATTTTTTCCGTAAGTAGAGAGCGCCTTACCTCATCTGTATTTCCTTGCACCCATTTCTTCATTGCTTGTGAAAACATGGACCCTGGGAAGAGAAGGAGAAGGGCTGAGAAACGTCGTGTTTTATGCAGTCCACATGACTAGCTGGGGGATTCTGGGAGTTGAAGTCCACCCCTCTTTAAGCAGGCTGGCTCAGGAATTCTGGGAGTGGAAGACCACCCCTCTTAAAGCATGCTGGCTGGGGAATTCTGGGAGTGGAAGACCACCCATCTTAAAGAAGGCTGGCTGGGGAATTCTGGGAATGGAAGCCCACCCCTCTTAAAGCATGCTGGCTGGGGAATTCTGGGAGTGGAAGACCACCCATCTTAAAGAAGGCTGGCTGGGGAATTCTGGGAATGGAAGCCCACCCCTCTTAAATCAGGCTGGCTGGGGAATTCTGGGAGTGGAAGTCCACCCCTCTTAAAGCAGGCCGGCTGGGGAATTCTGGGAGTGGAAGCCCACCCCTCTTCAACCTGCTGAGGCTGAGAAACCTCGGCTTAGGAGAACCTTCCCTTGAGGAGGAAGAAGCAGCTCACCTTTGGACTTCTTGATGTCCGGTTCTGGCTCCGATTCTCGAATGAACTGGCCCAGGTTGCTCACACGGCCAAACGTCATCTTCCTGAAGCAGGAGGAAGAGGGGCTTATAAGCTCTGGGAGAGGGCTTAGGGTTGCAGCCGAGATGGCAGGTCCACGACAAAGGAACTGGCCAGGTTTCCCCCCACCTGCTCCTCCTTGCAGGCTCAAATCACACCTGTTTCCCTGGAGAGCCTGTTATTCTTTCTCCATTTCGGAGAAGGAAGCCTTGTTCTCCCACCTTCACGCAAGGTGAAAAGCGATTTAAAGCTGACCGCGGGGGAAGCAGAAGAAAACTGCGAAGGAGGGACCTGAGCAAGACTTGAACAGCCCGTCGCTTGATAATAATAATAATGATGATAAAGTTGGAAGGGACCTTGGAGGTCATCTAGTCCAACCCCCTGCTCAGGCAGGAAACCCTATACCATTTCGGACAAATGGCTGTCCAGTCTCTTCTTAAAAACTTCCAGTTTTTGAAGGAAGCGGAAACCCAACGGTCGTTAAGTGCGAGGACTGGCGTTAAGTCGCTTTTTCCAGCACTGTCGTCCCTTTGAACGGAGGCTAAAGAAAGGGTCCTAAAGTTGGGGATGACAGTAGTGGCCAAAATTGTGGAAATCTTTTTGGGTAAAGTGTATTTTTTGAGGTTTGATGGCTAATACCGCCCCTTTTTTGGGGGGGAGTAGTCCCATAAAATTATATATCAATGGAAAGATCATTTAATCAAGAATGTCATGCAATGTAGTTTGTTCAATTATCTGTACTGAATTCTATGAAAAGCTATAGCCAAATAACCAGAAAAAGGAAGCACAACTTGATCTCAGGTAGCTTTCCTTCACCTGATGGTAGCCAATGAGCAGGAGTGTTTAGAGAGCCAATCAGGTGTCCTCTTGTTTTGGCCATGAGCCAATCAGATCACAGTAGGATCCAGTGATTGATGTCCTGTATTGAAGGACTCTCCTCCTGTAAACAGTCACACAACACACTAGTGATAGTTCAACCAACCCCAAAAAAAACACAAGAAAGTAACTCACTCGAACATTTTGTATTATTTTAATTTCAGTACCACGTTTCTCAACTGACCAACGGGTCTTTCACTACATTTTATCGTAATAATTCCCTTGTTCCGATGTCAATATCTCTTTAATCTTCAAAAATGGGTGGAAACTTAACCAAAGGGGGCATTTCTACTCTACACTTTTCCCAAAAGGTTTCCACAATTTGGGCCACTGCTGTACTCATATTGTCATAAGGTAGAACAATTCAATAATGAAAGCCTCACCAGATTTGTCAGTTCTTACCCTGAAGAAAATCAAGATGGGATTGCCTTGAATTTCTTTCTCACCTTCCCTTCTAAATCCTTCCTTACCTTTCCCAACCTCGGCTCTAGATTGCTTGACCGGAAGGGGCCATCCGGAGGTGAGGTTAAAACCAGACAGGTATTTTAAAAGCAACAGGCCCATCCCAGGTTTTTTTTTGTAACCCACAAATTGATCTCTTCTGGTGGCTGGAGAACCAGCTGCATTTGTGCCCAGCTGCCATTCGGCATGACAAACAAAAAACAAACAAAAACCACCTTACCCAGCGTAGGTCCGCTGATACAGAGACTCGGGGTCCAGGCTGGCAGCATCGACAATTATTGCTTCATCAAAGTTTTTCAGGATTTTTATGCTGGCCTTTTTGAGGCTGGGCTGTGGATTATGATCCAGAGAATGAGAAGAGGAAGGGGGAAAAAAAGAAAAGAAAAAAGGACCTCATATAACTGTAATTTGGACTTAACTTTTCATAAAAGATCTATGTATCTATGTATGTATCTATGTAAGTATCTATTATGTATGTATGTATGTATGTATGTATGTATGTATGTATGTATGTATCTATCTATCTATCTATCTATCTATCATCCATCCATCTCTGTGTATCCATCCATCCATCCATCCATCCATCCATCCATCCATCCATCCATCCATCCATCCATCCATCATCTGTTTTTCTATCGATCTATCTACCTGCCTAATTATCTATCTATCATTTATTTATTTATTTATTTATATTTAAACTTCTATGCCGCCCTTCTCCCCAGAGGGACTCAGGGCGGCTCACAGCATGTTAAAAAACAACACAAAAAAACATTTCCCCTATAAAACCAATTAAAAAGCAAATATATTAATAGCTGTGTCATATTTAAAATCTTTGAAAATTTTTAAAAATTATTCCCTATTTAAAAT